GCATAACAGCAAAGACCTAGTCTGTCTGTAGCTGTCTGTCAGTTGTTAGACAAGTCCGTAACAACTAAATAATCAAAACAGAATTAACATCTCCTGTTGGAGATGTACACTGAATGGCAGATTGTCTATATATAGCTACTGTGAACTATTACCGGAATCCCCCCCTCCCCCTGTATCCTTCTTGAGTAGTCGCTTTATGTCAACGTCCTGAGCATCTGGTTGAGCAGCGTGTCTGAAGGTGTGCAATCCGGCCCACCCCTGTGCCCCAAGTCAACGCCGAACCTGCCAGCCCCTGCACTTTATTTATCCTCGCATGCAATGAGCCTTCCACTTGGTTTGATCTGGCTGATCAGGAGGGATTTAAGGAGAGCCCCCATCTCCTCAGGAATTATTTAACGTCGCAGACAGGAAGACGATCACAGCCAGGTTCAACACCAAGTCCGCAGCCAGAAATATTTAAAGACAGTCTGGTAAGCGTCTGTCCAAAGGGCTGGCATGCCCTGCATGACCTCTATTGCGCAAGCAGCAGAACCAAGGACTTGCTGCCCAAGCATGCGTGTACTAGTCCCAGCGGGTTGGCATGGTGACCGTGACCCGAGTGCTTCGTCCAGGGCCCTTCAGAGGCTTCGMCCGTCTCCCACCAGCTTGCTGCCCAGGAAGAATGTCGACTCTCAAGGTTGAGCGCTCGCGACACCTCACATCGATAGGGCTCTCAAGACAGAACTCACTTCCTCACGGTAAGAAGTAACGAAGGTAGATAAGGAAGAGAGCCGCGTACCTCATAATGCTGCCCCCAACCACAGATTTCTCACCAGTAACCTGATGTGCAGTTATGATGACCGGTCTTTGCCTCGGCACAACCAACAACAGAATGTCGTTCCACCTCGGCTTAATATGTCACATCAGCGAGCTCTCATCATCCAGCGTACACCCCGTATGTCACAACATAGCTCCCTGGCGCGCCCACTCTACCCTGGGCCGCCTAATGTTCAACGCCAATGCCTTATCACTGCCCCACACCTCATGCGAAGCACCAATAGCTATTGCGAAGAACCAATGACGCGCAATATGAACCAGCTCCGATACCAAATTGCAAGGAAAATAAGCAACAGCGAGATGACAATTCCAGAATACACCATCACATTGCAAGCCAGATAGTCACACCGTGTCCAGAGAGTAGCATTGCACCAATAATACACCAATGGAGGTT